TGAGTACTGTGTAATTAACTTATAATTATAATCTACAATTTAATAAATATTAAAACTTACAAATTAAAGATAGAAGCCAAAGTATGCTGCGGGCATAAAAGATATAAAGTACTATATATAAGATTTTGCAACTAATAAAATTTCAAGATATATAAATGGAAAATATATTTCAAATAAAATTAAAAAATTATCGTTTTCGATTTTTATTTCTATATTATTTAATTTTATAATGCGTAAAACTATAGATTTTGTTGGTTAAACGTATAACCAACACAATCTATGATATGAATAGTTATTTACGGATTACACTGTATACGCACGTCTTCACTGTCGTACCGGAACAGGAGAAGAGGATGAGGATTTCGTAGTGAAGACTGACGCTCAGGAACCGTCGTGCTAGTCGCTTCGCATCCCAGAAGCCTCTATCTCACCGTTCGCTTCCGGCTAAGCCCGCTGCTGTCGCATCCCAGGCAACTTGAGGCTACTCATAGTTTTGTTTGTGTTTGCTAATTGTGAATTGTCTACTTCTTGCCGGTGGTTTGCGTGTATGCGGCGCCTAGAGCAAGTGAGACAGACGTTACATCTCGGATCTGCGAAAACAATACATGCATGTAAGAGAAAGATGGAATAGGAAGGAAAAGGGAGCAGAGAAACAGAGAGGGAGAAATAGGAAGGAACTGAGCTTCCGGCTGGAAGCACATCGCCTACGAAATGCTCGGACCGAGGAAAAGCCACCCCTTCGGGCTGTGACTCCTTCATCCCCGTACCTAACTTTACGGCCACCACCGACTACTCCGCACCACCGCTTTTGTGCCGTAGATACTCGAGTTTACCTCACTAGTCGGCGGTTCTTACACGAGCACCATTCGCGAAGAGGCACCCGCAAGCGAGAAGATACCAATTTTTAGCCACCTTTCGTATCTCGATCGTACCTCGAGTAATTCCAGGATTTTGAATCAGTCGCAGGGACATTTTTCAAAAATATATACAACAAATTTTACTCTATTTTTTAGCAAAAATCAAGTGTCAACGTAATACAAAAGGGTAAAATATGCAGACGAGAGAAGATCATAAATAAAAGGAAGAATTTCATAAATAAAAACTAATTTATGTTGAAAGTAGATAAATATATTTTCATGTTAAAAATAAAATAGACTTTTGTGGTCCATTAAAAAGTTTGAAGTGTGCTCTTAACTTAATCATCGCACGGAACGAACGACGCTTTAATAAAACATCGGTACTGGCCGTCGGATCGTTTTGGTTCGCGTTAATGAGACAATTTTCAATGTCGCCCCCGTACGAAATAAAACGGTGCTCGCGCTATTGTGAAGGAAAATGCACCCTCCGTCGGATGCTGTTGGCCGGGCGAACCGCTCGAAATATCAGCCCCGTCTCTCCAGAGACAGGGGACATATTGTTCGGTTCAGTAATTCCTCGCGTTATTTCCCGTGTGTTTGCTTTTATCATTGTAAACTGATATATTTTCCTGGGTAATTCTCCCCCTCGCGAAACAGAGAAACTTACAGACGCGGCAGAGAGAGGGATGCGAACGCGCGAGTCGACGAAGGGGTCGTAATCGCTCGGACTAGCGGTGCGGAGTTTCACTTCGCGAAGTGATGGAAACGAGATTACACTCGGCCATAACGCCGAGCTGCCTTCTTTATTTTTCAACGCGGTCGCGCTCGACGATGAAAGCTTGTTTTAACGCTTATCCGCACGAGAATGTATGTGTACGTACGTACATACGTGTCCGGAAATGAATTTGATAGAGTGACAGCGCGCAATTGTCATAGTGTTCTCTTTTTCATTTCAATCTCGTATTTTTGATCCGCGTTAGTTCAAGTTGACGTCGGAAAAAATTTCACGATTCCTATATCACGGAGGAAAATATTTCTAATTGCGGATGCGAAATGCAACGCTAAGTAATTTGATTAGAAAATGAATTTTATGTCAAATAAAATTGAAGTAAAAAATAATTAAAATTATTGACGAAATCTAAATCATTTAGAACAGTTTCTGCATATAAGACATACGTTCATTAAATTCAATAAATATTAATATAATAATTTACGATCTGCCACATAAATTTGGAATAAAATATATGTAGATTTGGAATTATCAATCAAAACATTTTATTAGATAATAAATAGACGTAAAAATATGTTTCTTACATTTTTACATTTAATGGATAGATAATTACTATACAATTTTGATATTTCCTTAATTTTAAATAAAAATGTCGATACTTTAAATTAAATTAAAATAAAATTTGAATAAAGAATATAAATTCTTTTTGCTTTTATATCGTTTAAAAGTTACCGATAAAATTTTTCCTTGGCTGATTGTTGGTCCATCATTATTGAGATATTGTATTGACATGTATGTACTTCGCGTCAATGTTTGAGCTTGAATTCTCTCGAGTGTCGCGTAAGTGCTTGCGTGCGACACTGTGATATACACGTTTGTCATATGGCGTGACACGTGCGCCAAACGCTAAACTCGTCGTACTGCAAACAACGAATTAAGTCTCACCGGCCGTCTCTCGCTTCAGACCCGAATCAAATTCTCTGTTAGTTTGAGACTTGTCAATAAAACGTTGCTGGCGCGACCAGATCGATCTAGTTAATCTAGTTAATGATGAATTAGAGTATTTCTATTAAGTATTAATTACGAAATTATATATGAACAATGTTCTCTCCACATGAAAAAGATTATACATAGGTATTACAATATAGTAATAAATTTGGCTATTAATTTCAAGCATAAAATGAGCAACATTAATTTCATTTAAACATGAATTACAGACATTCGTACATTACATAAACGAGGCAGTGTTATATTGTACATAACGTTGGAAAGATCGTAAAGTAGTCATTTGTCTTCGAGTCCATTTAGAGGGTGCATTTGAAGCTCCGAGATATACACAACGATAAAGACGTACCTATCGGTGGAACGTAATTTGTGTTCCTCTTCAGTTAATTACGCGCGGGAGGTATTGATATCGATGCGATGGAAGGGGTGAGCCGAGGCTAGGCGATGTTTAAAGGGCAACGGTGTAATCCGAAGAAAGAGGCGTCAAGGCGCATCGCGGCGTCGTTGAGTAAAATGGGGTGGCTATACCGAGATGTATTAGTAGTAGTAAAGAGAGAGAGAGAGAGAAGGAAGATGAAAAGAGGGAGAGGAGGAGGGTAAAAGGGAGAAAACAAGAGAGAGAGAGAAATGCGGTTGTGTGTCACACACACCGGGGGTCGCCGTCTTAGTGAAAGCTGGCATGATCTAGCACGGAAGATCGGGAGAGAAAAGGGGGTTGTCTATCTGTCTTTATCAGCCGAGCAGGCAGGTAGAGCCGTGTCGAACCGTCGTGCCACTCCTGCCTCCCCCGCTTTGCCCCCCTTTCATCCCTTATATACCTCATCCCTCTCGCCGAGAGCTACGCCAACGGCGAGAACACCCGATTGGCGTTTCTCTCTCGAACGAGGGAGGACATCACGCACCCCTATTGGCTCCCGGCGAATCCATACTCGGTATTCATTCGTCACCCCATTCGTCGACCCTAAGCGGGGCCGAAATCCCGCGTGTTTCCCCCTTTTTCCCCGCGTATTCTCTCCGGTCTACGTCCTCTTCTTCGACACCCCTTGTGAGCGACCGATGCGACTCACCCCTCTCTCTCTTTCTCTCTCTCTCTCACGGGGCGCCTTCACAATGCATTTCACCGCCGGCGCTTTCACCTTTCGCGCCGGATATTTCTAAATAAATACTTTTTTAATAAGCGTCGGCTGCGCGAACGGCGAGCAAGCGCCGTAACTGCAGCGCCATTTTTCACGGGGTGTTTTTGCGCCCCGGGAGAAAATTGGATTTCCACGGCCAGTCGTTGGAGTGCCAGTCACTTTTCTCATTCCGATATTTGCTGTATCCAACTGGGGTACCACAATTTCCTACTCTAACGTTGGCACATGATTGATGCAGAGAGATTATCCCCCCATTTCTCCAAACAAAATAAAATAATAATTTGATACAAAATAAAAAATATATAATGTACGTTTATGCAAAGTTATGGTTATAACATCTGAAATATACTGCGAACGTACATTTTCTTTTTAAATTTTCTTCTACTTACAAAGAAATAAAATTTCATTATCATGCAGATGCGAGTCTTGCGATAATAAAAAGAGTAAAAGTAAAAGTGAAAAGAAGATTCAAACAGAAGACAGTTTTAAACTTAATGCGCATAATTGTTGAGCTAATATAAAATTTAATTTTTTTTTATCAGAAATGTAAACTTTTTTTCAACTTTACGTCTTATCATTAGAAACTCATTAATTCAAACAAATTAGGCTGCGCTTCTTCGTTCGGGCAAGGATTGAAGAATGATTTATCGAGTCTAAACCGTTTGATGTATAAACCGTAATTTTTGAAGAAAAAGAGACCATCTATCTTGGCGTTTAAAAAAATGAAAAAAGTGGCATTTAAAATGAAGACATCTTACAAATCCCAATGAGCATCGCCGATATCTGGCTTCCGGAGTGACATGGATCGGTGGTTGGCCGCCGCGACGTGGTGGTGAACGAATTAGGCCAAGAAGGAGCCGACGCCTCGGCTCCGAAAGGAGATCGATGCAAAGTGTCGAAAGCGAGGAGAGCGAACCTTCGCCTGTACTTTTGACGTCGCCAGTCGCACCTCGCCCTTTCTGTCGCGAGCTCAAGCGACTCGCGCGGCAGACAGAAACGGAATAGCCGCGCCGTGACATCCCGGTGCGGATAAAAGTAGGAAAGAGATGAGTCGGGCAGAGAGAGAGAGAGAGAGAAAGAGAGGAACGCTCGTCGAGAAACGTGGGGATGAAGAATTTTACGGGGTGACACGGGTCGAGCAACGAGAAACAGGCCATGGATGTCGGCTCCGCCTATCGTACCGCCCACGTCGGTGGTGGTTGTTGCTAACCTTCCCCTTCGCCCTTCACCCTTCACAACGCAGCTGGAACCTTCTCGCGGCTTGCCAGCAGGCAGCGCACACACGTCATCCTCACCAGCGGTGAACGGCGCCTTCAACCGTTTGCCCTGGGGTCGCCGTCGCGATCCATCCACGATCCATTCATCGGAAATCATCGGACTCATCGATTTTGGACATTAGGAATTTGCCCGGAAGTGATCCAAGTTGTGTATCGAGTTGTGTGACATTGGCTGGAGTCGTGTGAAATCGTGGACCGCTTCAAGATTAAAGACTCTCTCTCTGCTGTGAAACTTATCGAATTCGATGGAAATACGAAGAAGAATAGCGGAGGAAAAAGTTTGGTGTACAAGAGGATGATTGATTTCAATAATAATAATGTTTAAACGATATTTGTTTTCCTTGAGGCAGATCGAATGATTCTTCGTGCTCGAAATTTCAAATCATAATTAACTAAATGCAAAGAAATTCCAGATTTATATCTCGATGATTACGAATAAATTAAAGATGAAATGGAGAGACCAGTTCGATAAAGGTGTGGGACGTTATTGGTGATCAGAAACATGGAATGTGAATCGATTAAAGGACTGGAACCAAGAATCTTGATGATGCCGACGGACAGTCAGGATATTGTAAAGTTGATTATTATTGATGTGTCAACATTCAAGTCTCGGAGACTATATTTTTGTCATGAGGACGAGAGTTTCTTGAATTTAGTGTCGTCGATTCGTGTCGCGATGTGTATAGCTTGAAATTATTCGCGATAAATTTGTACAATTTCTGAGGACGGTATGAAAAACGTGTACTGTGACTGATGGGAAAGAATTTTACGCGAAACTTGAATCATATTCAATGTTGGATGTTCGACAATTAATCGGAAGTCGGTGAAAGTGTTCGGGCTGGTAGGAAGAAAGTCGTGTTGTGTGAGCTGTGCTGCTGGGTGCGATTAGACGGCGAAATTTCCATAATTTCTGTAAGTATAAACAATTAAGAAAAAGTAAAATTTTTTATTAATTTAAGAATTGTTAATAAATTCAACAATAATCAATATTTTTAATGATGTGTATTTATATTTTAATCTCAAAAATTCCTTTTACATTATATATTCATGTTCTCCAAATTGTAATTGTTTCTTAAGCAGTAATATAGCTGTTTATGTATATAGATAAATGTATAATGATTCAGATAAGTTCGCAAAATATTAGTTTCTACGAATTTTAAAGACAAACGTATATTAGAAGTTACTTATATTTTATTTCTATTTAAATTACAATATATCCATATATACATATATAATAAGATTAATAATTAAAATAATAAATATCAAACTTATAGGGTATACAAAGTATATAAAATAATTACTTTTTTAATCTGTTATTTAATCGATCGTTTATGAAATTTTTGACTAAAAATTGTTTTATTTGACAAGTAAAAATACTCCGTAGAAATATTAATATAGAACCAAAAATGTGTTATTATTACTGTTGTTATCATAAAAAGGTGTTGATAACAAAGTATAAGTATTAATGTAACATACATTTTCAATAACAAAATAATAGCTTATCTGCGATACCTAAAGAGCGTAACGCAATCGCGTACGCATATTCAGAATTTAGAACATCTAGTTCATCAATCGAAGGGTAGATTATGAGATCAAAGGTTCGGTGTAATTAGCCATAATTCATGGAAGGATAAAACGAAGATAGATACCGCTTTTCTGCAAAGAGTTTTAAATGGATTAATGTTTTCCTGTGTGAGCACCCGTTCTACGTGATTGATTTTCAAATAACGTTCCTTGCGTTAATTGTTGATTAAATTATTTTCTGATAAAAATGACGACAGATTGTTTAATCTCCAATTTTAATTATTGCTTCAAATTTAGCAAGAAATATTAAGACCTCACAGCAGAAAGGGAAAACGCAAATTTTTACGAAACAAATTATATCACAGATATATAATATAGCAATCAGTAGTCTACGATACTTGAATTACTTATCTTCATTAATGTAGTTGTTATAAATTGACAGTTTTTCTATTGCGTGTAATAGAAGTTTAATACATCTTATCGCTTTGCTACTTTATTATTTTTATCGCCCATACAATGACCGACTTCATTACACTCGAATTTATCTCGCAACGAGCATCTTCCAGAAGAAGATGTGTCGGTGCAAACGACGTGATTAACCGACGACCGCATCGTCCATCTGCGCTGTACAAACACAGCAATCTACCTCTTTCCATCTCCTTCCTCCTGTAACTATTCATATTATAAGTACCTACGCGATGTATCGCATATTATGGCGATAAAAACATTTAGCATTCGAGAGCGTCTCGACAATCGTCACGAAGGGGAGCGTAACAATTCGCGTATCCAAAACAGCGTACGCGATGCAAACAAAACGCCGAACGCAGTAACGGCACGGTGAGTGCCACTGGAAATTAACGAACAATTAGTTCGCCCCGTCCATGTTTTATAAATACATGCGTGTTCTCTTTTTCTTTTTTCTACCACCGCGACGGCTATTATTTTCGAGGATTCGTTTGCTTGCTCGCGCCTATACTTACGCGCTACCTAGCTGAAAGTAACCCCACGTTCGAGCGTGTGCATGTCCGAAGTATCCGAGTATTCGAGCGAGTACTTAGGGCTTTCGAGCACCGGGAGAGGGATCTTGTAGTGTTTCGTTGCCCTTAAAAATGCGCGGGGTGAGATACGGCGGATGAGGGCATATAGGCAAGGCAGCTTTTCGCGTTGCAGCCTCTTCAAATCTCGTGCAAACACTCGGTGCGGAGCTGCACGTTCGCCTCGGTACGGCGATTAATATCCCAATAAGGTCTCGTTCACTAAGCTCACTCGACCGCGCGCGGCTTCGTTGTTTATTCATTGTATCGTCGGCATACTCTCTCCCGTGGGATACGCCGTCTAGATGGCTACCGCATCCCGATATCTCGTAGATTTCTTGGATCGAGAGTTGGAATAATTAGAAAGATTCAGCTCGCTACGCGGAAAAAGAAATTAGCTACCGTAATTAAATTTTAGCTGTCCTTATAAGGAATATATATTGCAAGTTATCTATGCCTAGATGTTAGCTATGGTAACTAGTATTTTTAGCTGTGGTTTAATGGAGAATTCTATAGCTAAAAATATTAGCCATTATAACTGAAATTTAGGCATGATAACTAAATTTTATATATAATATGGGGACAGCTAAAATTTAGCTATAGTAATTAATTTTTTTTTGGTGTAACTTTTGTTTACAAAATTAGCATAGTTAAATTTTAGCTGTCCCTATATTGCAACCTGACATTTAATTATCATGCCTAAATTTTAGCTATAGGAATTAATATTAGCTATGGTAACTAATATTTTTAGCTGTAGTTTAACGGAGAATTTTATACAATTAAAATCAACTAAATTTCAGGGGGTAGGAACAGCTAAAATTTAGTTATAGTAGCTAATTTTTTTCCGTGTAAAGATTGCATAACGCTGTCGGAAAGATAATGCAAGATGATAATATTAATAAATATAGAAAAATAAAAGATCGTGAATGATGGACTAATCGATGATCTCTATCAAAACCTTGAAGATGTAGAGAAAGAGAGAGATAATTTTATAATCCTCTAAATTGAAATTTTAAGATGTTAAAAGATATGTAAACATTGAAATCGAGATTCTGGATCTTTAAAATTTTCAAATCCTGAAACTTTTAAAGATATAGAATATTTAAAAATCAGCTAATTAGTTTAATTGAAATTGATACTTTTTTATTATTGTCATTAGACAATTCTAAATCACAGTTAAAAGAGAATAATTATCCTTCATCATTACTTTTTCCTTTACTTTCATTTACATGAGCAGTTACAGTTTTGATTTAAAAAAAATGCCAAGTTTCTTATTTTGAATGTAATAGAAATGTGTCAAATAAGTTTCATTGAATGGTTGTACTATAGTCAATATAGTTTTGATATCTCGCGATTTCATCGATGAAATTTTTGGGTGGAACCTTCATCCGCGCATTACGGGTACATGCAAAAATTTGTCATTTAATATTACGAGCGCAGCTGACGAATCTACAGCGGCTGAATAGCGAAGTTTAAGAGTGCGCGATTAGCATATTTATCGAGCGTCCTGCATCATTCCGTTCGTCGGTGTTAAAACGAGGCGACACACCGTGGCATTAATTGATGCCGACGCTGAGATACGACCGGCTTGGCCGAAAAACTTGATATCATTTTACTGGTCAATCCGCTCAATTCTTTATTTTACGCGAGTTTTATTGCGAACTAAGTGGAGCGAAATTTCGCGCTCGAAGAAGATCGCTTAATTAGTCGAGTCGAGTATTCGAGTATTCTGATGTTAAATTCGCGAGATGGACAGCAATTTCTAAGAAACTGAGTAATGTAAAATGAAGTAACTTTTACAAAAGAATAAATCTACATATTTGTCATAATTATAGAAAAAAAATATATATATTTTTCTAATTATGACAATATTTTTTCTAATTATGACAAATAGAGTTATTATATAAATATATAGTATATTTTGGGAGATTTTAAAAATTTTGGAAATTATTATCGTGCAGCGGGATGAGTTTTATAATGTGATAATAATCAAAGAATAATACGAAAAATCATAGATTGTACAGATACAGTCGCTGGTTGAGCTGCAAGTAAAATTTTATTTAATCCACCCCCACATAACTGACGGACGACGGAAGAGAGCGCGAGAACGTCCTCAAATTCAATGGAACCGTCGCGACTTCCTTTCTCGCTTTATTTTCCCCGTCGTGGAGTCTCAGGCATTATTACGCTACTTGATTTCGCATCGAGCCAGCTGTCTCCGATTATTCGCTATAGAAATTTCGGGGATTCCGGTTCAAAGGGAGACCCCGGTATCCTCCGCTAATATTTGAGGAGAGGCCCCGCGTAGTCTTGGGTCTTACCGGACGTCGCGGACGGGCTTTCTCTTTGTACAATTATCCTCGGGCCTTTTTCTCCACGAATAGACACAACTTTTCGGTTAACTCTAAGTGCAACGGGTATGTAACTGTCATACGCAGTCAATAAAAAAATTCTTATCACGGGCTTTAAAATAGATATTTAGCATTTATTATGAAACTGTTTGTAATGTGCTCTAAAGAATATTTTAAAAATATTTTATTTATACTCATATGTACGGATAAAATAATTTCGAAGAATATAATGCTATTAAACATTTTTAACTAATAATAAATAAAGACTGACATTTATTCAGGACGAGAGAAAGAGAAAGAGAATTTAAAATTAAAAAGAAGTTTAACAATATTTTTATTATATATCTTTATATAGGTATATGTTTTCGATAAAATTCCTTATAATAAAAAAATTGAGATTTATGTTAAATAAAAAATCTGTCTTTTTCTTAAGAAGCTTTAAGACTTTTTCAAAATTTGACAGCAAATACCAGTGCGCTAATATATCGTTGTTTCCGAGTTTGCGAAATTGATGAACTAACGCGCTTCGTTGATTAAAGATATCGCCGATTTAGGGAACTCGTCCTCCGATGGCGGCGACGCCACCCCTCGCGAAATGCCTTTTCATCGAGTGATCCCATGAGAAACGATGCGATGAAGCTCGGGGAGATCACGCGAACCGTAAGAGTAACTGAAGTATAAACCAAAGTATTCTGAGTATTCGCGGACGTTCGAGGGACGGAAATTGTTGTTCCGCGAATTCGAGTTCGAGGAATCCGACTTAAGTTTTTTGCAAGTCTTTTACACCTTTTCACCATATATCCCAATTTTTCTTTCCTGACATTTCGTCTCGCGCCAAGAATTACAGCTGATGATTAGCTCAGATAACGTTCTCAGTGTCATGATCTTTTTCATAATTGTGTTGCGTATTCCTTATTTATTTTAAGTCAATGTAAAGCGCACATTTTTGCCTTTAGATGCTGTGTAGTAGACAATGCAACATTTTGAAGTTTAATTCTATACT